ATTAACCAGAACTGCTTGAGATTATTAAAACAAACTTACATGCAGAACTATATGCTACAGGGAAATAATTGTTTCTATAATTATCCAGATAATAGAAAAACTAAAGATCAATTTGTCTAAGAATCAAAATCAGTCATTTTTGCTGCCTGCCATAAATGTCCATACCAGAAAATTGATAGTATATAAATTGTTTTTTGCCTGTTTTTACAATATTGTTTTATAGTTTCTGCTTGGGTTACTGTATTATACATGATGATATATGATACAGTAATGAGGTATATTTAGACTAGATGAAGGGGATAACAACATTTGCCAGGTGAAGATTGAGGACTAAACACAAAATAAATTACATCTATCAAGACTAATACCAAGGAATGAAATTCCCTCTCAGATGTTAAAGTTTCCAAAGTTTTATTTTGATTCTAAAATACTTTGTAAGTACTTTCCAACTTCATTGAAACCATCCATCTTTTGAAAAAAAAATGTTTTTCTTCCTCTACATCCACTCATGAATTATGTATTTTTATATTTATTCATTTTTTGTAGCTGGGTTCTGGCTTTTTTTTTCTTCTTTGACATTTTTAAAGCTCACATACATTTCTGGATTACTGTAATGATTTTCATCTCCCTTGATTGTTTTGCTAATTAAAATTAGATCACTTTGTAATATGTGATTATTATAACTTTGATTTATCTATATTTTTTCTTTTACATTTAATAAATCAATTGGTGTGGTGGTGGGTGATTTGTTGTGGCTGACCAGGTCTGTTAGGCAATTATAATTAAAAATAAATCCAAATGACTTACTCTGGAAATTTAAATTCTGGTGACAGCCAAGGATTAAAGGGTACATACCCTTTAATCATTTTGTTAAAGGTTATCACGAGGGAAGAAATCAGGGCTGATCACAACACTGACTTCTTCAGTACCTCATGTATGTTTTGTGTCAGACAATCTTTCTCTTTTCAAAATGTTAATATAAAAGCCTTGCCCTCCTGATGAGGTCCTGAGGGTGAAAATATTTTCAAAATCTAAATGCTTGACTGATATGTTTGGTGAGGCAATCTGAAAACCTCTGGTACCCATTGCATTTTCTAGTCATGGTCCATTAATGATATTTTTGGTCAATTCAGAATATTTCTAAATGTCATTTATTTCTTTAAATGAGCAGCATGGTGGCCTAGTCATGACTTTCACTCGGAAGATTGAAAGTTCAGTCCTAGGTAGAAGATGATGTTTGTCTGTCCTAGAGTGCAAAGAAAAATTATCTGCTGTGAATTTCATGTGGTGTCAGGAAGGGCATCCGGCCATTAAAACCCTCAGCTCCATGCAGTCGCCCCAACTCTACCCCAAATTAAGGAATTATAGGGTCATAAAAAGGGAAGGGTTTTTATTTGTTTCTTTAAATATTTGTTCCTGAGTTTTGTATACCATTCTTCAAACTCAGGTTTTTCCAGTGATGGTGAGCCTCAGATTTGTATCCAGAGTTCAGTTAAATTCTACATTTATATTAATTCCCTTTAACAGCTTTCTGAACAACTTTTGAAATTTAAATAACTTTCTATATAGCAAGGATATAGCTTTATGTCAGGACAGTTGCTTTTCATAAATGTTTTATGAAAGCTTATAGCAATCAACAGTTTATATTGTGGAAATCTATTCCTTGTTTTTCACAATATAATATACTTACTTATACTGTATTTATATATCTAACATGTTTGTTTGTTTGTTTGTTTATTTGAATTTGTATACCGCTCTATCTCCCTCACGGGACTCAGGGCGGTGGACAGGCGATGATAAAAATCACAATAAATATACTCAAATTTCTATTCTAAAATCAAATTAAATAAGAGGCCTGCTCTAAAATACCCTATATAAAACCTTTACTAAAACATAATTAAAGCTACGCCATGCCGGCCGCCCGGAATAAATGGGTTTTCAGGGCTCGGCGAAAAAGGCGCAGGTCCGCAACAGTACGTAGGTCGGGGGGTAGGTCATTCCAGAGGGCAGGAGCTGCCACAGAGAAGGCTCTCCCCCTGGGGGTCGCCAGCCGTCATTGACTGGCCGACGGCACCCTAAGGAGGTCCTCTCTGTGGGAGCGGACTGGTCGGAGGGAGGTGTTTGGTAGAAGGCGGTCTTGCAAATACCTAGGTCCATTGCCATGGAGCGCTTTAAAGGTTGTTACTAACACCTTGAAGTGCACCCGGAAGGCCACAGGCAGCCAGTGCAGCTTGCGCAGGAGAGGTGTTACATGGGAGTATCTAGAGGCCCCCAGAATCCCCTGCGCGGCCGCATTCTGAACTAGCTGGAGCCTCCAGGTGTAGCTATGAATTAAGATAATTCACAGATGGCTATTCTGTAAGTTATGTCTCTTTTTGGAGGTAGAAAATTCACCAGAAACAGTTTTTCAAGATAACCTCATTCAAAACATTTGTCATGAATTCCTAAATTTTATTTATAAAATTTATTTGCCGCCTATCTCATATCCAATGACTCTGGGCGTCTTACAACATAAAAACATTGAACATTAAAATCATCCAATGTAAAAACACAACAGATAAAAATGCTATAGACTGTTTGAAGGAATTTGGGTTTTGGTATATATTTGTGTGCCTTCGTGCAGATGAAGGCACAGATAACCAACTAGCCTGCTTTGTTAATCTTCTTAAAGATGCTGTTCTGTTTGGGATAACATTCCATGCCCATCAGTTAAACTTAATTTCCCCTTCTGATAGTATTCTGACCTTGCCAAGACAAATCTAATATTGTGTCTGATTTTCTTCCTTCCACACCAGTGTTGAAGGCAGGAAGTGCAAAGCTGGGCAGAGGAGAGTAAAAGGAGAATATGGTGATAATGACTGAATTTTGCTCTACTCTCAATGGGCAGAGAACTTCAGTTGACTGATGTTAGAGTCAGAATAAATTAGGCTTCTCCTAAACTTTCTTTTTTTAAAGAGTTTTCGCCTAGCCAATATTAGGTTTCTTGGCCCATTTGAAGCCTGCATTTTTCCAACCTACTTGGCATTATGACTATAGGGATTTTCATAGGTCCTATGAAAACAGAGATTTTCATTGCTGAATACATTGTACATAGTTAACATGCTGAAGGTATTATATTCAGGGTTGCATTGCCCAAAATTTGGAAAGCAGCAGAAAAAAATACAAGATAACATAACTCTTTTCCCCAATTCGATATAACTGGCCTACCCTTTTTACCATTATGGCAATTGGATCCAACCATTGCTCAGGGCAGGAATCTAATATAAAGTATCCTTGTCAGATGAATATTTAGCTTTTACTCACCAATACTATGGGTAATAAATTCCTTTGTCAAACTTCTTTAACTACTGTTTTTTCGTATAAAATTAAATTGGAATCTTTTTTCCTGGGACATATGTACATTATTTTGTATCTTATCCTCTCAAGTACAAAACAAATTGTGATTCTTTTAAGTTGCATCCCTTCTTATTCTGATGTTATGATATTATTACTTTGCCTTTGTTCCTAGTTCCTTGTATCTCTACATAGAATTTAATTTTTAGTTTTCTGCTTATTCTTTTTGATATTCACTGAATCTGTCCCAACACTTCTGAAGTACCCAGAAATGGAACCATAAATGAGATGGAATCTGACCAAAACAAAACAAAATGGGAATATTTTTTGCTTCATTTTGGAAAAGAGAATGGATATTTCTTTCATTAATTTTCTTTTCTTCCAAGTTGCTTTTAGAAAACTAGATAACTTTAGTAACTTTAGGAAGTTTTGTTTTCCTTATAGCCTAATTTTCCAGTTAATTAAAACTTTTCACCTTTATAGAGTCTTAGCCATTGCATTTCTGAATTGTAGAAACATTACATCCCAACCAATGTAATTCTTAAATAACCTTTGTCAGAAGAGTAATTTGGAGTTCCAAATCGAGCCAGGGCTGCTCAAAGAATAAATAAAAATGAGATCCAGACAACTATGGGGAAAGAAGAAATATTTATTCCTGAAAGCAACACAGTTTGTATTTAGGGCAGGCTGCAGAGAAATGGGGTACAGCAACAGTTTTTTTATAGGGGGAGCTTGTCAGGGGTGTCACGTGCTGATTTTAGGCTGACACTTGAGGGCTGTGTGTGTGTGTGTGTGTGTGTGTGTGTGTGTGTAGGTAAGCTTATTGTTGTGAATATGCAGTTCCTCTGGGAGACATAATTTAATTAACTCTGTGTTTGCAGACCTTATCCTTTGATATGTGGATTGGGTCTGGGTAATTTATTTGGGGGTTTGAGGAAGTGTGCGAAAGGGATTTTCCTGTGTTTGCTATTTTTACTTAATTAATTTAGTTTCAGCTTGGCCATCAATTATCTAGTGGAGACACTGATTCTCAGACCATTGTGAATTCTGTTAATATTTTAAGGGAAGATGGAAACAGTATAAAGAGTAAAATATATTTTGATATAAAACTTCTCACACCTTTTTCCATGTTTCACATTTTTTTTCTTCTGCTTTTTTTATCTGTTTAACCGAATGTATTCTAATCATGTTCATTTAGAATATGTCAAATAATAATAATAATAATAATAATAATAATAATATAATAATCACATTGAAATTAATTAAAATTATATATTGTGGTATTCAAATGAAAAAGATATGTTTTCTTTCTAGGCAAATTTATTTTTTTTATTCTTTGCTCGCATCTGGCTTTTGCTAATCATAATGAGAACAAGAAGTGTTCCAAATCTTCCTCTGTGCAATTTCCTATGTTAGCCATGATGGTTCTAAAGGTTGCTTCCTAGTTATCTTCCCTCCCCACATATATCTGTTACAGCTTATTCCTCATTCTTCTGCTTTTCATCCTCTTTTATCCTACTGAAATGAAAAAGAAATGACTGCACATGTACCTATTCTATTATGGTTTCATATATCAGTATAACTTTAGTGTATATGTGGCCAGAAATGAAAAAAAATAGAGAGTATTTCATTCAACCTTTCCTTTCCTTTTTTTTTAAACCTTTTAGTGGTTTTTGGCCAGTTTGTATTTTTCCAGACATCTCTCCATGATGTGGTTGAAGTATATGACGGGCCAACTCAGCAATCATCTTTATTATCTTCACTCTCGGGATCACATTCAGGTATTTCATAACAGAACTGTCCTAAATCTATTATGTATTTAAGTGACTTTTACTCTGGATAGTTCTGCTGAGCATAGTTGATTTTGAACATAGAAGAACAATCGAGGATGCATAAATTAAAAGATTAAATTGATGCTATTATGGGATTATGGGAAATCAGTTGAAAGAAGAAACAATGTGATGTGTGCCTTAAATTATCAGTAATTATTTTATAGAAGTTGGGGAAAAAAACTCTATATTTTTATACACTGAGGAAATAATTATTTGCAAATAATTAGAGAAATAAGGTGTGAGTTTCTAATGTTTTTTTCTTTATGTTCCAGGCTTTAAACAGTTTTTGTAACTATTCTAACAAATAAAAGAGCAGTAGTCATTAATATTCATCTATTTCTTAAGATTAAATAGAGCTGCAGCACAATACATAGTTACATTACAGTGCTTCCACTTCTGTAATCTAAAATCCACTTTCCCATCAAAGGTAATAATTTTAACATAATTAATCAGAGACAAATTCCATCTTATTTTTAATTAATTACAGATAACATGCAGTTCTTGTTGAAACTGCATCATGCAAGAAAATAAATGTATTCCTTCCATCATCTAACATGAGATAAATTCAACGAGCACTAGTCTCTTCTTCCACTAGCAATATCCTCAAAGCTGTAGTTAATTAAAAGAATACTGGAGATGTGCTTATAGGTTATACATTCAGAAAAGAACATATGTAGTTTATACCTCAACTTTGGTAATTTGCATTCATATTAATGATAGGACATATGAAGATTTAAATTGAAAGATAGCTGACATGAATTGACACAACTATTTACACAAAGAAAATATATTATGGAATTTCATCTGAATTTTATTTTTAAAAAAGATATCCTCACCACTACACATTAATTCCATTTTAAATTTCACAATCCAGACCAAATTCACTTTTGTGCCAGTGCCAAGATGTTGGGAAACTATCAGCGAATTAGTCTTGAATCATTGTGCAATCACAAGAGAACTAGGACGTAAATTCCATGGAACCTTATCTGTTTGTTCCCAAGTGAAAGCAAGCAGTCTGGGGAGACTCATGTATTATAGGCAGAATATAATAAAGTAGGAAGCTTGAACCCTTCATGTGTGGATCTGATTGTTTTGGCCTGACACAAGCTGACTCCCAGAAATGATGAAAACTCTTAAGCAAACTGATATCTAGTCAGTTTGTTGGATCAAATCAGAATCGGTAAAGTGAATAGCAGTTCTCAGAGTGCCATTCATATTTCATGAAAGAAGCAGGGTAGAGTTATCTGCTATGTATTCTCCTGTAGTATATTCTATTATTTGAAGCGCTGTTCTGGAAAAAAAATCATCTTTACATTCTTTCTCCCAGAGCCACTGGAATTATTATTTTTTTAAAAAGTCCTTTCATTTCAAGAGAGCAATATGGAAATTACCCTAAAATGTTACTAACATTTATTTGATAATGTTTCATGCAAAAATATTTCAAAACACCGTAATAATCACTGATCAATTCAATGTATTTGACATATTTCATCTGGAGCAGCATATTATTTATTTATTGTTACTCTGTATATAATTTTGGCATGTATAGTTTTGATGCATTCCTTGGGATACTCACATTCATGTAAGTTAAATTTGATATGGCCCAGGCAACATTTAGTATTTTTGAAATTCTTGAAAAAATTAATTCTTCCATCATTTCAGTGAGATACGGGCAAATTCAGATTATTTTTCATGAAATATTCTTCACATAACTGTCTTTTCTCACAAAGCAATCCCTACCATAAATAAGTATGATGAACTTTATAGATACATTTGTCAGACTATATAAAGAGTTCTGCTGGAATAGATTATAGGATCCATATTTTGTTCTAAACAGTTGTTATTATTATTATTATTATTAATTGTATTTATATCCCGCCCTTCTCCTTTCGGACTCAGGGCGGCTGACAAATGATAAAAAGCTAACATATTACACCTAGTTAAAATTTAATTAAAATGAAATATTTGAGAATGTCAAATTTAAAAGTAATTAAAACCCCTATAAAATCCCCTAGGCCAGTCCCGCTTGCTGGAACAA